GGAGGCCTAAAGAGAAATGTTGGAAGATGCGCGGATGGCCGCAATTAGCCCATACGGAACAAATGTCTGTAAAAACTGCATACCTGTGTTCCAGAGGCGGATGTTGAAGCCATTCGGGCCTGTAACGTTGCACGCTCGTTGAGACCGGATTGCAGCGACCTGGGCTAGAGCAGCACTCACCCCTACGGTATGCCTCGAAGAAGCAACTACCGAATTTCTTGCTAGAGCATTTAAGCACGGCGACTTGAGGGCCGACGGTAGCCTAGTGAGCATTTTCGTCAAAGGCCTAGGCGAAGTCTAAGTTTTCGATGCTGTCGAATGGGATCTCACACAATTCACGTTCACCTCTCGTGCTCTCGTCTGACATCTTAAACGCTTTTATTTAGTCTAAGAAATTCTAATCCGTGTTTCTCATACGGAAAGTCGGGTGGAAACACCTGTCTTACGTTGATATTGATCCTTGTGGTTTCCAGATAGTCTGCAATCAAACCCCAATCTTCGTTATCGCCACTGTCTCTTTTTAGATAAGCTGGAAGAGATCCTTCCAAGATACGTGGAACACCTGCAAAGCCGTTGAGCAAGCACTACTTCCCCCTCTGTCCTTGGGATGCGGTCTTACCATGGAACGCACGACGACATCGTGGACCCGACATGATCAAGACATCTCCAGACCTCAGTATTATTGGGGTGGCTCTCTCTTCTCTTGTCAATCCGCCGATGAGAAAGACAGCAGCTTGGCCCAGTCTACGAACAATAGGTGAGCTTTGGAACGCCTTGGAAGATAAACTCACGAAATGGAGACTAGAGGTGATGTAGAAGACATTTCTGAGCGGTCTACATGCGCCATGAGGGTATCCTTCAAATGGGACTAAGCCTACATGTGGCCATAGTGGGAATCTGCCCTCTAACCTTTAGCTGATAGAAATTAATGATCCCTGCTTCTGGTACTATAAAGTCCTCGTTGGTTTAACGCAGGGCTGGACACTCGAAATATACACACCAAAGGTGTCCGGCCAAGTATCCCAGTCAGGTCTTGAATTCTCCCACTCTTCGGCAGGTATATCCCCATCCTCTTTCCATACATCGCTCCAGTCGATAGCCTGGACAGCATTAGTGCATACTTGTTTGATATCTGTCGGGACGGGAATGTATGGCCGATCAAACTCATAGCTTTTGGTGCCCCAGTGATAGAAATGTCCAATGCTAGACCACCTTAGTTTCTGTAAAATAGAGTTTAACGGAAGAGGGGACAATGTCGCAGAAGGGGGCGGTGGTGCTTTTGGCAGTGAGCGCATTTCTTCGAAATTGTCGATACTCGCCGGTGTGTTGTCGATTAGAGTTCTCCTCGATTCTGTGACGCTGTTCTCATCGTTAGGACTCTTGGTAGCTATGATAGGTGGGGAGCCTGTGTCTCGTCCTCTTATAGAATAAGTCTTCCAGGCGTTCCATAGTCCCTCTCTGGGAAGAATATAATGTGTATCCAAATTGTTCTCATTTGGGTATCGAGAATGACTTTCCAGAGTTTCTTTGATCAAATGCCGCTGCTCTTCAATCGAGAGAAATCCTGGCAATAAAACGAATCCTGCAGCAAGAGTGAGATTCTAAGACAAGTATCAAACTAGGATGAATTAGGGCATACCAGGTATAGACTCGATGGTAAATGCTTTCAATGCCGACTGTTTGCATGACACGGCTCTTAGTCCATCAATTGTGGCGGACCCTTTCCAGGCATCTCCATGCAATTCCGAGTTCCAAGATAGATCAAGTGCACCTTCTAAAGAGGGAGGTGGGAACTTTGCCTTGTACTCCTTTTCTTGTTCACGTAGGGCAGGTATATCCTCAGCAGCTGGGGTTTTCTTGGATTTTTTGTGTAGCCTAAGTGCTTTCTTGTAGGCGGGACTGTTTACTTCTAAGGGTGTGGGCATCTCTACAAATGCCACTCGTAGCGACAGGTGAGGTCAAAGCCAAGGTGGCTGGGATCCAAAGAACGACATTGTTACATGACTGGGATATATGGGCTGCCATGAGATACAGGATTCAAAGCTACGTAGACAAACTGGATTTTCGAGAGGATACACGAGTCTATGACGAAGTCATTTGTTGACACTTTGAAGGGCCTCGAAATGAGACCTGACACGGGAGATGTTGTAGCAAATTGCTTCTGGGTCTACAGTCCCTGTTAATACTATTCATAAAATTATTATGGTACTTACTGATGCGAGGCTCCTTATTTGAACCGATAACAAGTACATATGAGGTAGACGTCAGTATATCTAGAACAAGGGTGAAATCGGACCACTCCATCCTGAGAGCCTCAAAAGGCTCGTTAGAGAACCGATTTGTACCGTTCCTAAACCCTTTGATTAATCCGGAGATCATCTCAAAGCGGTTTGCTTGACCTAGGTGTGCTTCTGGGTTTGCTGCCTCCGTCTCTGCTTTTGCGGCCTCTGCCTCGGGCATGTTGTGGGTTTCCGTAAGAGTGTTTTCTAAATCCTCTTCTATACTAGAACGTGCCACCAGGAGGAAAGTGTTCTTTTCAAAGATGACGGTTTCTACCGCACCACAGCTTTTGGCAAGAGTGTTTAAACTTTTGGTGAGATCATCCACATTTGGAACGAGAATGCGCACTACAGCGGACCACGCCTTTCAAAGTTCTTTAGCAATGTTTATATGGAACGATATGGCCAATAAAATCCTACTCGGTATAAAGAGTCCTCATAGATGCTAGTCCCGAAAATCGTGAGTGGCGTGTCCCGAGCAGCGGTCTTGATACCAGTTACCCAAGCATTGAAATCATTGACACGCTTTGTGGGGTCGTTGATGAGGTCCATCTTCTGCACAAGCACGAATACAGGTGTGTTTGGAGAGTGGCGTCGCAGTGCATCAAGGCAACGCGAGAAGTACTGCATACTAATTTCTGGAGGTCGACCAGAAGGTTCTAATTTGGTGACTTCGAAGACATATATCATGGCGGACGCGTGCGCGAACATGGTGCTCTGGCCATCGTCCGACAGAAATGTATCAACAAACGCCCATTGACCAGCGAAATCCCATAGATTGAGCTGAAACGAATTGAAGAATCGGAACTTGTCCATCTCATATTGGTGTGTCGTGGATAGTTGACTAGTATGATCTGGTACTGTGTTTTTGCTGGGGCGATGAGTAGTATGGGGGATGTTTGCATGATGTTTCCTCACAAGATTACAGCTCGCATAGATGACTTGAACAACGCCGGCGTCAGTTGAGGGGATATCGGAGGATCGACGCTCTGCGCTCCAGAATAGGCTCACCTTGCCACTTCCCGCATCTCCCATCAGCAGTACCCTAGTGAATATTAGAGTAAATGGAACAGATTATTGAAAGGCCAGCTCACTTCTTCTCTCGTCTGGGTCGTTCCATCTATCTGGTTTGTGGGTGAAAGGTGGTGAACGTGAACAGTCCTGTTGAGCTACGACGCTGTCGTCGGGGCAGACCCAATCAACAAAATAAAGCTGACGTGTCGCTCAAAACGTTCTCCGTGGACCTAGTCCCTACGCGCCTTTTGAAGGTTCATGGCTGCACCCTCGTCACGAACATTCTCGCCCCCACCCCCGTCGCAAATCACGTCCTTGACGGAGACAGGACTCCATAATGGTGCTATATCGTCCCGTATAGTCCATAAGCTGGCCATAGAGGGTCGCTGTAGTGCTGAGGACGAAGGAGCGTCTTTAAGATTATTTATGAAGGCGCGTCGCCATCGTCTCTTCAGGCTTTAAAGCCTCTTTCAGCTAATATAAATTGTTTCTACAGATTGTCTTACCTTTAGACGGACTCACGCCAGGGGCATCCATACCGTTGTTTCCAGAGGTGGATCATTTCTGCTTTCGTTGACTCAATACTGACTCTCCCGAAGGAAAACGTGCGGATAGTCAACTCCAAAGTTCAACCATTGGACAGCAAGTCTGTCCCATACGCTTTCTCGTCAACTGCAACACCCTTGCTACATAAGGCCGCTCGAGCTCTCAATCTCCCCCCTCGCTCAAACAAATCCTACTACACATTTCTTGGTATTCCGCCTCCAACTCAGGTCGCATCCTCCCCTGGCGACCCCAGCAGTTCACGCCGGGCAGCAGCAGCAGCTCCCTTACCGCTTTCTGTGACCGGAGAAATCAACGTGTCAAATTTTCACATATGCTTCATTTTACCTCGTATTCTTCCAACACGTGGGGCCGTGCTTGCAGAGAATGATCTAGAGCAAACTCCTAGGAGCAACAGGAGGACGTCCTATTCGGAAGGCAGGACTATTTTGTTCATGGCAGGAGTAGAGATATTTGTTCCCTTTATCTCTCGTCCTCCCAAATCCCCTTACCAAGTATGTGCCCTATTTCTGCGCTGAGCATTCACTTATGCAAACCCTTTAGCTATCTCTTCCGTTACCGAGATGCCTGTCGAATCACATCAAACTTCGAGTAATGCCTCCACCTAGGCTCCCTTCTGGGCAGGAATCCCCCCCTTGGGATCTGACGTCTGAACCGGCCGTCACATACAAGCCATCCCACGGGTCACGATCCATCTCCTACGAACAAATGGCGGATGATGAGGACTCTTTAGAGGACTCGATAGACTCTAGCACCTCTGCTGCTTCATCACATGGAATTCAAGGCACCTTCCCCTCTAGTGATCGTATCAGGATTCGATGGGCGCAACCAATGAACCGGAATCAGGGGCTCGGAGTCCTTGCAGACGGCAGACGAAGAGTGGGAGTAGAGGACTCTGTTGGGTCACTCCATTGTACAATACTTGGTCGAGATGAACACGAGCGAATCAAAATGAGACTCGAATATGAAGGTACCTGCAAGGCTCTATGGTTCCCAGGTGTAGCCACGCAGGTTGGCCTCGATGTTGTTCTAGACGCCAAGGGCAGAACCATCTCATGGGCTAGTGAAGATGAACGATGGGAGATTAGCGGAGGACCGGGCCTCACAGGCTATGATGGGATAGTCCCTGTTCCTTCTCAAGCCACTCCCAGAGCATCTGATGAAACAGAGAGCCACATACCAAGACCGAGTCTTACGAGCACAAGGCTTTCATCTTATGGAGCGCCATCTCTGTTACAAACAGCACTCCCCACCAATTCCATCCTACCTGACTACTCCTTCGAGACTACCCCTTCACCCACCGTTTCAATGATCAACTCCACTGGAACGCCGTACGGGAACTCATCTACTTCTTCTGCAGTTGTCCTCGCCGTTGCCCCTACCAAACCAATCACATTGTTCCTGGACATTGGCGACCTCTCTCCACCTCCTAGTAACGAATTTAACTTCAAAGCCTCTGGAACTATCCTAGTAGGGCCTCATAAAGACAGTGACGAAAAAGATGACGACGAAGAAATCGAACTGCCAATATTCCGTATATTACCTGCCGCAAAGACTCGAAGCCAACTTCTTATCTCCTCAGAAATGCAACAAGGGATCGAAGTTATTCTGCCCCAAGAAAAGAGGCAGCTCAAAAATGGAATGGTCAACGGCATCCGAACCCCACCGCCTCGTCGAAAGACTCTCAAGAGAAAATCAACGATCCAAGCGGATGACGGTGTTTGTATTATCATTCCAACACAACCCCTTAGCCCAGAACAATCACCTGCTGCACGATTACGCACTACCCCTCGAACACCCCAGCGTGCGCTTTCTCTTCGCACCCAACGGACGCCAAGAACGCCTGGCTCGACATTAATCTCGTCGCCTGTCGTCGGTGGTCCCCATTCCATTCCCTGGGTCCGTGCCAGCGTTACTCTTCTTCCCCCGTCAAATCGGCATTCGCACGCTGTTCAGTTCAGCGTACCCGCCGTTGCTGTTACGGATGGTGTACTATCGTTTGGCGTCTGCCCTCCCTCATTCGTGCCTCATGGGGATGAGCCAGCTATCGAAATAGTGTCAGCCACTGCAGATGGGATGAGCCTTCAGGTTGAAGTAATCACCCGTGCATCATTAGAAGATGAGAAAATGGGTGATGGACGAGGTTTTCCCTTTGTGGACTTTACTACTGCTTCTGGCGAGCTAAAAAAGGAGGAAATGAGCGACTTGGCTATTCGGGATATGGACACCTGGATACGTATCGTGCTTCCAGACGAGCGAATATTCGGCAATTTAGACATTCAATATCTCGTCGCTCGTGATCCAAAGACGAAGAACCAAAAGAAATCATCCAGTCGCTCGGAAAACCTCCTCATTCTACTACCAGCCTTTCATATAGGAGTCGGAACTTATGCGGTTGATTTCCACCACTCGCAAGGTGAGTTAAAATCATCAAACAGGGC